TATAAATAAATATTTAATATTATAAATATATAAATAATATATTTAATTTTTTTTTTTTTATATGGTTTATTTTGTTATTTTTCAAATGATTATTATTATTGAACGCTCAAACCACATGGCTGATTTTATTATTTTTATTATAAGAATTATTAATACTATTGAGAGCTCAAATCAAATGGCATATTTTATTATTTAGATTTTTTTAATTATTAATATTATTGAGAGCTCAAATCGTGTTTTTTGTTTCTGTTATTAAAAATATCAATATTATTGAGAACTCAAATCATATGGCTTGTTGTGTTTTATTATTAAAATTATTGAGAGCTCAAATCATATGGCTTATTTTATTATACTATTATTAATATTGTTGAGAGCTCAAATCATGTTTTTTATTATTAAAATTATCAGTATTATTGAGTGCTCAATTAATATGGCTTATTTTATTGTTTTTTATGATTACAATTATTAATGTTATCGAGAGCTCAACTCATATGGCTTATTTTATTATTGTTGTTGATCATGTTTTTTATTGAAATCATATAATTTTAGCTCAGATCATATGTCTTATTGAAGAAAGTGATCAGGAATGAGAAAAAAGGCTAAACATCCCAGACTTACATGCAAAAATGGAGATCAGAGGGGACATATCATCAGTTCACATCACACATTATCAACTTCCTAACCACACCCTAGCAACCAGCCAGAACAACCTAGCAACCATATAGCAATGTGCACCAGACATATCTTCGAATCAAAATATCACAGACACATTGAGGTGGGCTCTTTTGACTTGGCCCAATGAACCGCGGACCCTGGGAATACCATAGAAAGGCATATGATAACACTAATATTATTTCACCCCTTATTATTATAATTATTTGATTTTTATTATGTAGCTGATCATTCCTGTTATTATTGCTGTGGTGATGCTGATAGACTATATATTATACATATTTTTTTTCAGGTATTTATATGGTTTTGAGTAGAGCACACAGGTCGAGCAGCATCATAACCTGTTGTTGAGGAGCTCGGCTGTTCGCTTCAGACGGGCTGAGGTCGCGTGTGCTGCAGTCAGAGGCTCTGGTGAGTCTAAAAGTGCGCAGTGAGGCATCTCCTGCTCCGTGATCGCCGTTTATTCCCCTATTCCCACGGAGGGAATTGAGCGCTGGCACAGTCCCCCCTACTGTACAAACACGGAACTTCTACTCACTCACCATCAGTAACTCTCCGCCAAACACCAGCAAACCACATCTATTATTACCAAACGAGAAGTTTCCATACTGTCGGTGTGTAATGGCGCATGTAGCTTACTTTAGACTTTACAAGCAGCATACGCTCTTAAAAATAAAGGTGCTTCAAAAGGTTCTTCAAGCGATGCCACAGAAGAACCATTTTTGGTTCCACAAAGAACCATTTAGTCAAAGGTTCTTTAAAGAACCATCTCTTTCTTACCTTTTTATAATCTGAAGAACCTTCTTTCGCCACAAAGAACCTTTTGTGAAACAGAAAGGTTCTTCAGATGTTAAAGGTTCTTTATGGAACCATTTAGACCAAAAAGGTTCTTCTATGGCATCGTGAAGCATCTTTATTTTTAAGAGTGTATGGTAAGACAGTTTAACAGAAAGAGAGAGAGAGAGTCGAAAAGAGAGCCAGCAGTGGAGTCATTGTTCATTATTTTGTTGCATATACCTCAAGTGCTATTTTAGTAAGATTATACTGGCATCTTTGTTATCATTTATAGATTTTTTTTTATTTCAATGTATTTTTTTATTTAATTTAAATATTTAAATTTATTTAATGGTGATTTTGCATGTAAGAACGTGCAAATCAAGTACTTTGCAATTGAAAGAGGGAAAGAGAAATGAGAGTTTGCCTTTTATTCACATTGTTAAAGAGAGACATCGTCACTGAACCAGACAAAACACGAGCTCTCAACCTTTTCTTTCGTTCCATGTGCTGCTGAACGCTGCACTGGCTCTACATCACAAGTGGTTTGCTCTTAATATCAAGTGACAGGTTCTGTAATAATATTTAAAGTGGAATATGTGTCATATCCCATAAAAATGCTCCAAACGCATCAATATATCCGAATACAAGAGTAGGCATTGTAATATAGGCATACATCGTTGTATGGTAAATCAATTTAAGTGGCAAACACGAATAAAAAAAAGAGACAAAAGTTGTGAAAAAAAAAACCTATAAAACTTTGTTCCAGGGTTATGTTGCAACCAGTTTTGCGAGTATTAGGTTTTGATGTTGTGCCGGGGAAGGATAGGAAACACGAAAAGGGAAGGTATTCCCATTCCACAAGGGAGATCCGAGCAGCGACTATTGCGCACAATGTATAGCCAATGTAAAAAAAACAGACACCACATGCTTAGCTGCATCCAGCGAAGCTAAAATTGTCAGATATGTTTGTTCTGAGATCATGTTCTTATGCCAAAACTGTTTTGTCCACTGGACACTGGACTGGTCAACACCGCAGTTTGGTAGGTACCTTGGAGAGCGAAAGCTGTCTGACGAGAACGACAAGCACAGATAAATGCATATATGAGTTCAGAAATCCTCTACAAACTGAATTGGCCTGTACAGATTTGTCGTGTCATTCTCTGATGCAACAATTATAAAGAGTAGCCTACACAAAAGATCCAACAGAGTCGATGAGAATGACCCTAGTCTCCATCAATGCGTGCGTAAAAGGAGATATCACTCAATTATTGTAGACAAGGCAAAATTGATATGAGGCTGTGATTAAATTACTGAACATATTATTATGTGTAAGCAAAAGCATTTCATTTAATTACCATGTCAAGTGGGGCTGAAATGGGGCAAACGTAGGGTCTCTAATCACATTCTAGATAGATGATAATGAGGGTTTACCTCGAAAAAGTTGGCATGTCCCATCTGTTTGTCTGCACATAAAAAGCCTTCGACTATTCCTCCAACTTGTTCAGAATAAGTTCGGTGTATTTATTCTTTCAACAGGCAATATCTGCTTGAACAATGACACAAAAGAAGGTCTGTTTGCTCCAGTGGAAGAGAGGTGCTCATAGGACCGAAAAAAAGCAACAAGCATCCATAAATTCACAGCGGATCCTGTTAATGTGTGTTTCTGTTCTGTCACTTCTGATAATGTTACTCTGTTTCCCAAATGTTTATTATTTAATCCAGCCCGCAAGTCGTAATGGTTGTCCCGTTTTCCGGATAAAAAGTCCTGAAGTGGTGTGTGAAGGCTCCAGGGAGGTGTGCAGTGAGCGTAGCCCAGGCTCGGGTCGGGTGGTCTCTCGGTGCGTGTCGAGGCAGTGGGAGTCTTCCTCTCCTCGCCCGCTCTGTCCACACAAACTGGATTCACTGTTTGAAGGCAGGCAGTTGGGCACTAAAGCATATATCCAGCAGCCCCCCCTTGTGGAGCAACAGCATTGCGTGGGTCACATCAGAATGAAGGAGACAGACACAACGATGAGAAAGTGAAAATGAAGCGCACGGAGAGAAAGACAGGGAGAGAGAGAGAG